CAACACACCCCGGGTACAAACACAAAAGTTTAATTCCAGCCCTGACGGTCACCAGCCCCGGTGGCACCCAGTGGCACCCATGGTCACCGTCACACAGTGCTCCTCCGTCACAGCTCTTGCAGTCCCTTGTCACGGCTTCTGGTGTCCCTATCCCCTCTCAGTGTCCTCGTCCCAGCTCCCACTGTCCCCATCCTGGTTTTCGGTGTCCCCATCCTGGCCCCCAGTGTCCCAGTCCCACCTCTTAGTGTCCCCATACTTGTCCCCAGTGTCCCCATCCCTGCTTTTGGTGTCCCCATCCGTGTTCTCAGTGACCCCATCCCTGCCCCCAGTGTCCCCATCCTGGCTCCCGGTGTCCCCATCCTTTGGTGTCCCCATCCTGGCATCTGGTGTCCCCATCCCCAGCTCCTGCTGTGCCTCACCCTCCTTCCCCGCTGTCCCCCCCTGTCCCCCGCCCTGCAGCAGGTGCCTGTAGCGGCTGCCAGGGTGCAGGAGCTCCCCGGGGGACCCCAGCTCATGCAGTCGTCCCCCCTCCAGCACGGCCACCCGCTGCGCCCGCATGGCCAGGGCCACCTGCCCCGTCACCAGCATGCCCCGTCACCAGCAACACCGCGCTCCCGTGGCTCCTGGCTCCGAAGATCTCCTGCTCCACCTGCGGCGGGTGGCGTCATCAGTGGCGGGGGGGGGACACTGGAAGAGGGGACCAAGGTGGACCCCAGGACCACCAGGGGTTTGCTGGGAGAGGGACCCAGGGGGGACATGGGGAGATGGGGCCAAGGGGATGTGGGGAGCGGGGACCCACAGGACACCGGGATTGGGGACCAAGGGGACACCAGGAGAGAGGACCCAGGGGGACCCCTGCAGGACAAGGGATCTGCTGGGAGAGGGACTCAGGGGACACTGGAAGAGGGGACCAAGGTGGACCCCCCCAGGACCAGGGGTTTGCTGGGAGAGGGACCCAGGGGACAGCAGGATTGGGGACCAACCGGTCCCAGCGGCCAGTGACCCAGGGGACACTGGGATTGGGGACCAAGGGAGCACAGAGACCAGGGACCCAGGTGACATCAGGAGAGGGGACCTGCTCGGAGAGGGGACCAAGGGGACATGGGGACCAGAGACCCAGGGGACACAAGAAGAGGGGATCCAGGTGGGTCCCTGGGAGAGGGACCCAGGGACCACGGGGACCAGGGCACCCAGGCACTGGGGACCCAGGGGACACGGGGACCAGGGACCATGGGGACACAGGACAACGGAAAGGGGAGACCCAGGGGGACCCCCAGGGACCGGGGTGTCGCCAGACAGGGGGACCGAGGGGACACAGGTGTCACCTCTCACCTGCTGCTGGCTCTCGGTGTCCAGGGCGCTGGTGGGCTCATCGAGGATGAGGACACGGGGGTCCCTCACCAGGGCACGAGCGATGGCCACCCCCTGCCGCTGTCCCCCGGAGAGCTGCCCCCCCAGCTCGCCCACCTCTGCACGAGATGGGGGTCAGTGTGGGGACATGGAGACACGGGGACGGTGGGAAGGGGACACCTCCTACCTGTGTCATAGCCCCGGGGCAGGCGGGTGATGAAGGCGTGGGCACCCGCTCGGCGGGCTGCCACCGTCACCTGCGCCTGGCTCCAGGTCCCTGGCCCGTAGGCGATGTTGGCGTGGAGCGAGCGGGAGAAGAGCACCGGCTCCTGGGGGACGGCGGCCACCTGCGGCAGAGGGGACAGCTGGGGACACGGTGGGGACATGGCGGGGATGGCTGGGGACACGGCGGGGACATGGCAGGGATGTGGCAGGGGACGCGGCGGGGACGTGGCAGGGATGTGGCAGGGGATGCGGTGGGGACGTGGAAGAGATGTGGCAGGGGATGTGGCAAGGACATGACGGGGATGGCTGGGGACTCAGCAGGAACATGGCAGGGGACATGGCAGGGATGTGGCAGGGATGGGTGGGGACATGGTAGGGATGTGGCAGGGGACGTGGCAGGGATGGCTGGGATGTGGCTGGGGACATGGTGGGAACATGGCAGGGATGGCTGGGGACACGGCGGGGACATGGTGGGGAAGGCTGGGGATGCAGTGGGGACATGTGGTGACATGGGGTAGTGGCAGGGCCATGGTGGGGATGGCTGGTGACACGGGGGGTGGCAGTGGGGACCCAGCGGGGGCAGCTGGTGACATGGGGGTGGCAGTGGGGACTTGTTGGGGATGGCTGGTGACACGGGGCTGGTGGTGGGGACCTGTTGGGGACACCTGGTGACAAGGGGATGGCAGTGGGGACCCGTTGGAGATGACTGGTGACGGGAGGGGTGGCAGTGGGG